CTTTGTGGAGCCCCGTTCCTCCTGGCCCCCGTTTGTCCTGGCCCTGGTGGCCGTGGCCAGGAAGGCACATTTGGAGAGCAGGATTTCACTTCTTGAGGGGAGGTGATTTATACATCTTCAACAGGGAGCTGGGGAAACTCTCCTCCTGGAGAAAACTCCGGGGTTGCTCTGGGTGAAGGGGAGGCGTGAGCGTGTCCCCAGCCTCTCCCAGCCGCACTGTGCACCCGCCCCTGGACCAGTGGAGGGGTGGCTGTGGCCACCAATCTGCTCTGGGGGGGGTGATCTTCATAAGGATTGAAAAACTGCCAAATTCAGTGCTATCCCTCTTGCGATTGATGAAAAAAGCATCTTAGACAGCAGAAGAGTAACTTTTTTCAAAAAAGAAGGAGAAACGCACTTTGTGGAACAGAGGTGAAACTGGGAATTCTTCTCCAGCATCCCGGCGTCGTGCTCTTCATCTGGGTTAGCCACAGGTGTGCGTCTCCATCGTGAAATGCTGAGTGTTCAAGAATTAATTTCCACGTCTTTTTTTTTTTAAAACGGCTTCCCCGTTCCTGGTGGGTGTATAGATAGCGCAGACGATCCGGAGTACACACAGAGCAGCGTAACCAGAAAAACCTGACGGTTGTGCTGAATACCTGCTGCCCTGTATAAAAACCAAATGCAAAGGTAAGAGAAGACAAGGTCTGGCCTTCTTCCAGCTACTGAAGTTTTTAAAATGCCATAAAAGATGAACGCAAGTGTGAAACCAGGCATCGTCTGTCCAGGTTTTCGTGCCGTGTCCATCAGCTCAGTACATGTGTGCCTCCAGAGAGACCTGTGCTGCCACATCCGCAGAACCATTTTGATCCTTGTTCTGATTTTGATCAGCCTTTTCTGAACCGGTATTTATTTATCTTCCAGGAGCCTTTTTAACCTTAATAGCCCAAAAAACCCCACAGGACTGGGGCTTCTTGTGTTTTTTCCTCTTGCTGAATTAGCTCGAATGGAGCGGACTGTGTCCAGCTCTGGGGACCCCAACATAAGAAGGACATGGACCTGTTGGAGTGGGCCCAGAGGAGGGCACGGAGATGCTGGGAGGGCTGGAGAACCTCTGCTGGGAGGACAGGCTGGGAGAGTTGGGGGGGTTCAGCCTGGAGAAGAGAAGGCCAAAAAGGGGAGACCTCAGAGCCCCTTCCAGTCCCTAAAGGGGCTCCAGGAGAGCTGAGGAGGGACTTGTTACAAGGGCATGGAGTGATGGGACGAGGAGGAATGGCTTCAAACTGGAAGAGGGGAGATTTAGATGAGATATTAGGAAGAAATTCTTGGCTGTGAGGGTGGTGAGCCCCTGGGGCAGGTTGCCCCGAGAAGCTGTGGCTGCCCCATCCCTGGAGGTGTTCAAGGCCAGGGTGGACAGGGCTTGGAGCAACCTGGGCTGGAGGGAGGTGTCCCTGCCCATGGCAGGAGGGTTGGGACTGGGTGATCTTCAAGGTCGCTTCCAACCCAAACCATTCTATGATTCTATGGCTTCACACGTGAGGATGTGCACGGGTGCTTGGGCACCCGTGTGCGCCTGTGATGGTCGAAGGGGAAGTTAACGGCAGAGATTTGCACATCAGCAGCAGAACCTGCGTGTACCTCCCGTGCGCATTTTAGGATTTGTTCTTTTGGGGTTTTTATTTTTTCCACTCCGGTCTGCTCAGTGCTGCCGTACGGGGCTGTTTAAAGAGATGGAAATAAATAAAATATTAAAAGAACTTCAAAGTGAGTTTGATTCTCTGAAGATAAGTATTATTTATAAACTACGCTCCCGGGCTGGGGGGGAACGATGCCTATCTTCGCTCCACCTCGGGGCAGAGCTGTTGTTTGTATAGGAGACAAACCGGTGGCGCTGCTGGTTGGGGAGGGGGTGGGAGACAGAAAACGCAGCGTCCTCTGTGTGGTCGGCGGTGCCGGGAGCTGCCCCCACCCCGCGCTCGCCGGCGTTGCTGCTGTCGGTCCCTACCGCCCCGTGTGCCGCGGGCTTTACATCAGTACGTGGCAGGGGGTGGGCTTCAGCCACGTTCGGCAGGGTGGTGGTGCTCTTGAAGGTCCAGGGCTCCTGGTGAAAGCCACCGATGGTGTTTAAAGGAGAAAAAGAAACAGCCAGCCTGTTTTGGGGGACATCCGAGGTCTGGAGTTTGCTGTAAAAGCGGTCGTTTGGGTACCGGCGTGGCACAGAGCATCCCGCGGTGGCGTGGTGTAAACCAGTCCTCTGCTTGCGGGACTATTTGGTGTGGGTTAGTTTTGATCTTTCACTGCAGATAGGTGTGTGTGCGCATACACGCACACGCAAAGGCGTTTGTAGCCTGATAGAGTTGGAGTTGAAGTCTTTCCGTGTCTCAGAGAATGCGCTCTGTGTGGTAACGAAGTGGTGGGCTGGCCTGAATCTTCTCGCAAGCGATTGAAAGTGGAGAAGTAAATCACCCAGGAAGACACGCTGTGGAAAGGCCGTTGCACGATGGTGGTTTGCGTAGCCGTAGCGGTGGGAAGCGGAAGTGTTTTGGAGCAGCCCCTTCGTTGTGACACGGGGATGATGAGGGGTGAGAGGGGGCTGCAGCCTGAGCCCTGTCCTCCCACCCGGAGAGAGGGAAAATGGGCTCGGAGTCAATCACAGTGGATAAGAAATGGTTTTTCTTCCCTGTAGGGATGGCCATAGGTTGGGCTTGCTCACTAAGCACGCCTGGAATATGCCGGTTGGCAGGAGAAGGAGCTGCAGATCCCAACAAGCGTGACTGAGCGCATAGTGGGGTTGTAAAAGAGAAGGAAAGGATCGGTAGTTTTTACCATTCGGTTGTGAGAAATACCATAGGTGGTTACCTTCAGATCTCTTGAGAACCTAAAGGAGAAGAGATGTGAGGAAATCTTTTTTTATTGGAACCCATTTCAAAAACACAAATAAAACTTTATATCAGCATGTCAGCAGTAAAGCGGTGGTGACTTTATGGCATCTTTTTTTTTTTTTTTTTAACTCAACGCTTCAGTTTAAAAACCCTCCAAATCATGAGCTTTCGATTATTACCGCATCTGCTTCGTGACGTGGTACAACAAGAGGTAGTCTTCAAGAAGTCAGGCCAAATGATCAAGATAGCCAGATTGTCCCTCTTCAAGCTGGACCACCCAACTGGAGGCATCTCCTATAGCCAGGTTGTCCCTCTTCAAGCTGGACCGCCCAACTGGAGGCATCTCCTATAGCCCCGTAACGGAGGTGGTCCAGGGGAGGAGGTGGGCTGCTCTGGGGCAGGGGCGGGAGGGGCTGGTCGCTGGCTGTGG